TAAGACGCTTAGTCTTAAAATAATTTGATTAAGACCATCCAAACAGTCCTTAACGACTTTCCAGAGACCCTCTTGCGTCTTCGGTTTGCTAGATCTGAAAGCAGTGCTCATCAAGCAAAAAATAATACACAAAAATTTATAGGGGCCAAGTCTGAGGATTTGTAAGGGATGTTCTTGAAATAGATGTAAGAAATGCCGTTTTTATCTCTTTTCGTCCAGGTATTATTGCCGTGTTAAACGTGATGTATGACTCGTGGCTTTATCTTTGTGCAGCCAAACGGATCTTAAGTCACCTTATACAAAAACGGGTCCTCATTGTCGAATAATGGGTTTAAGACAAGTCTTTAATAAATATGCGAATTTAACTTGAAATTTGGGTCCACCTTCTTTATTGGAAGCTTCCCATTGTAGCAGAAACCTGCAAACATCATGAAGCCCTTTAATAAACTTTCGTTGCATTGCTTGACCCAGTTCTGAAAGATGTTTATTCGAGAGTTAGCGTAGTAAATGGCACGGGATTGGTTGCTATCATTAAGGTAAACCCATGCCTCGTCCAGTGTAACAACATTCTTTCATTTTTCACCTCTGCTGCAGGTCTTGCGTTAATAGATATGGTGCGGCTTGAGAACATGAACTTTAAGCCGATTTTCTCTTAATAATAGTTAACGGTAAAAGTGGTACACACACACACGTTGGTTATTGCGGAAATGTTCCTTTGAGAAAGTGGATTCTTTCTAACAACAATTCCATTTATCTTTCTTCGGTTGAAGTTGAAGGTTTCTTCAGGCACCTTTTTCCAGAGGAATCTTTTCGCTTAATTTCATAGATAACAAAATTTTCTCTGTTTTCCTTTATTATATGTCTGATTGTGAACTTGGTGTATGATTATCATTATTCTCCTCTTTCATATTTTTGATAACATAGGTAAATGAATATATCTCTTCTTGGAGAGAAAGTCTCTGAAAACATAGTATTTTACAAAATACCTCTCTTATAAATTTAGGCATATCGAATATTTAAAATATATATTTTTTTATAAAATATAAATCAATGCTTGTTCTATTAAATAAATAAAACATCACTCAGTTCAATACAGTTTTATTTAACTAATTATTTGTTTATAATTTTAAATATTTTTCAAAATATATAGATTTAAAAAAAAAGTTTTGTTTCCGCTGTTATGAATTCAAATTCAAATATATACGTTCACAAATGCAATATATTTTATTCATATAAAATATTAGCATCTGATTTATATTAGCGAATATATTTATATGACATAAAAATATTAGAAAGAATGTCAAATTCAAAGTATTAGGTTAAAATAACAAACCTTTTGAATAGTAAAAAAGGCGTCAATATATCATGTAATTCCTTTTGTTGGAAAGGTAACAAAGCTTTGATAAAAAAAAAGGAGAAACTATCAGAAATATAAAGAATCGTCTGATTTATAAATATGAGGAAATAAGAAAGCCAGTTCAATATATATAAATGTGACAGGACCAAGTGAAGCAATAAGTGAAGTTGTGGATGGAAAAAACATTTTTCAAAGTTTTTCTATTGGAAGACCGATATTGTAGTTTTGTTTTCTGCCTTTCTCATCACCTTCTGGATTATCTCTGTCAATTTTAGGTACTTTTAATATGTGGAACATATTCTGACATGGTAGTTTTTATTATCTTTCTTTTTGGAAGTATATGGATTCTATGTGATAATAATGGATAGTAGAACGACATTTGAAAATTATCCCGCATGTGTTTCTTTTGAACGAAAAATCGAATTTTATCTTAAGGAGAAATAACGATTATTTCTAACCGTAAGGATGAATTGTGAAGAGTAATGATAAACGGAAAAATAAAAGTGTCCAGGGATGGGAATCGAACCCACAGTGTTCCGCTTACCGGGCAGATTCCATGTCCACTAGGCATTTTCCCGGTAAGAGGAACACTGTGGGTTCGATTCCCATCCCTGGACGCGTTTATTTTTCGTTCATCATTACTCTTCACAATTCATCCTTTCATACTATATCCCTAAGGTTAGAAATAATCGTTATTTATCCTTAAGAAAAAAAATAGATTTTTGTTTCAAAAGAAACACATGCGGGATAATTTTAAAATGTAGTTCTATAATCATAAACCACATTATATTGTAACGTAGAAATCAAGCCTTGAAATATCCTAAGATGTAAAAGTATTTATTGATGACGTCACAGCGACGAGTCGACAATTATTAACAGGTCAGCCCCCCCCCCCCCCCAAACTATATACCGCTAGGGAATCTTAAGCAAGCAAGCAAAGAAATATTTTGAAGATGATTTCACAAATACAGATTAATATATATTTTTATAATCTGTTGAATATATTTTCATTGAATAATATTTAATTAAATAATAAAATATTTCTTCGCCACATAGCCTCCTCCTATAAAGAGCATCGACCCGATGCTCAGCAGGAGACTTACGTCGTCAGTCTCAATATCTACATAGTACTAGGGCCAGGGATATTTTCAGGTGACTGCGGTGGATGTCTTCTTTCAGTTGAGATGTCTTCTTCCTGAGGGCTTGGCAGGTCTATATTTACGTCAATGTAGTTTTTTCTTATTTATACTGTGGTCGGCAAGGTAGGATTTCTTAACTTTGCGACCTCACCTCCAATATGGTCATCATCTAATTTTCATGGCGGGGTGACCAGCTAGATCTTCTAGCAGGTGAGAAATTTTGTCTGTTTCGACCGGTATATGGGGTAGGGATTCGGTAGCGACTGAAATTTTTCCTCGATGATTCATCGTTGGGTTCCTGAGATTCGGTTTGAGAGTTGTAGAATTCCATTGCGTCTTGCTTTCTTTGGAAATATTTATTTCTCCTTTCCTCATTGTGTCTCTTCCTGTCGCGGCAATAGCGAACGACGTGACCTGGGCGTCCGCAGTAGAAACAAATTGGCTTTCCCTCAGTTGTCCGCCATTCATTGGTGTCACATCTTCTTCCTTGCTTTCGGTAATGAGGTTCAGAATGCGGTCGTATCGTTTGGGCCTCGTATCTAGGCCTGGATGCTTGAGAGGGACTTATTGTAGGTTTTGATCTAGGTGCCAAGGTCTTTACAATCTCTTCCCTCACTAAATCTTCAATGACAGCGATTTTAGGCTCCTCTTGAGGAGAGTCCAATGCTTGCTTTATCTCTTCACGAACAATTTTTCGGATCAGCGATGACAGATCTTCTCCGTCATCATGGTCACAGAGAGAGGCTACATTTGGTAGGCGCTCGTACTTGGTTGGGGTAACTCGCCTACAACGGAGCACTTCAACACGGCGACATTCTGTAATGAATTGCTTGGTGCTCCGTACATCCCTCGGTAGGAGTGCTTGATAAAGCTCCTCAGCTATCCCCTTCATGAGGTGGGAGATTTTATCTTCCTCGCTCATTTGAGGATCAGCCTCTTTGCAAAAGCACAGGACATCCTGGATGTAAAATTCGGTACTTTCGCCTTTTAATTGTGCCCGTGTTTTAAGTTTCTTCTCCGCTTGCAATTTTGAATTTTCTTTTTTTCCGAACACATTCTCTAATTGAGATGTGAATTCCTTCCAAGTCTGGATGCTTTCTTCGTTGTTATCAAACCATTTGAGAGCAGTTCCAGACAGATAAAAATAAACTTTAGTAAGACAAAGGGTTTCGTCCCAATGGTTGTACCTTGCCACACGTGCATACCCTTTTAACCATTTTTGGAGATCTTCACCATCCTCCCCGGAGAAAATGGAAGGGTTCCTTGGCAGATGTTGAACAACGTAGTTGCTTACCTGGGTACCTGCTTCCGTCTTTACATTCATAGAAGTTACTTCTGATTCAACAGAATCAATTTTTCTTTTATTTCTTAATGGGTATCGGTCCAGCTCCTCCACCAGTTGTAACGTAGAAATCAAGCCTTGAAATATCCTAAGATGTAGAAGTATTTATTGTTGACGTCACAGCGACGAGTCGACAATTATTAACAGGTCAGCCCCCCCCCCCCCCCCCCAAACTATTTACCGCTAGGGAATCTTAAGCAAGCAAGCAAAGAAATATTTTGAAGATGATTTCACAAATACAGATTAATATATATTTTTATAATCTGTTGAATATATTTTCATTGAATAATATTTAATTAAATAATAAAATATTTCTTCGCCACAATATTGTATTATAAATAATGGATATTGGAAAATAACATGCGCTTTTATAATCTAAGTCTACAGCACGCATAGTTACCAGGTCTATTAGTATGAAACGCGAAAGTTTTCAGTGAATTCAAAAGTTCACCAATTCCATACAACAAAATATTTTTTATTCAAAGTATCTGCCCTGATTAGCTATACACTCGGACCACTTTTCAAGCAATTTTCGAATTCCTTGTCTTAAAAATTTATATTCCTTTTGAGTCGAACCAGTCAAAAAGTCATTTTCGGAGTATGTCTGAGTTCGAAATTTCCTGTTTTCTTAGGGCGTATCCTAAAGATGTGAAAAGGTGGTAGTTCGACGGCGCTAAGTCTGGTGAGTACGGCGGGTGGGGTTAGAGTCCCCAGCCCAAGTCTTTTATGGTGTTTTTGACCAACGTAGCGTTGTGGGCTGGAGCGTTGTCATGCTGCAGTATCAGGTTGTTGTGCTTTTCACGCCCTTCCGGTCTTTTTTCATTCAACGCCTCTCTCAAACTGTGCATTTGTTGTTCGTAGCGACTAGTATTGAACATTTTTCCAGGTTTCAGGAGCTCGAAATATACTACGCCGGTCTGGTCCCACCATATGCAAAGCATTGCCTTTTTTCCGAAGCGATTGGGCCTAGGCGTCTGTTTTGGAAATTGGCCGGGCAGGCCCCACGACTTTTGGCGCGTAGGATTGCTGAAGTGGATCCATTTCTCATCAGAAGTTACGATTCGGTGCAAAAATGACTTCTTTTCATGCCTGGCGAGCAGCCCTTCGCAGGTTACCAGACGCCGTTATTGCTGCCTTACGCTCAACTCGTGGGGGACCCATTTGGAAAGCTTTTGGGTCATTCCGAGGCTATTTAAACGTAGAGAAACAGCACCTTGAGACACCTGGAGCTGTTTTGCGAGTTTCTCCTGCATTTGGGTACTGTCCTCATCCAACAAAGCTTGCAGTTCAGCGTCCTCAAACTTTTGGGGCGGTTTTCCATGTGGTTCATTATCAAGTTCAAAATCGCCACTTTGGAATTTTTTAAACCACCTGTAACACTGCGATTTGCTCAGAGCGTGGTCGCTGTAAACTTCCTCGAGCATTCGGTGGCTTCAGTGGCACTTTTCTTCCAGTTGAAGGCGAACAACAAAACTTCCCGCAAATGGGCACTTTTTGGCTCGGAAATCACTATTTTCCACGGGCTCCAGAAATTTTTCACGATTTGAATTTTTCTAAAACTGCACGCATGCTGATGCCACGTGAGTCAAAGAACAAAACGCCTACAACAGCGCCACCGTCGGCTCAAATAAAGTTGCACAGCGGCCTCTGGCGCCCATTTTCGCGTTTCATACTAATAGACCTGGTACATTGAATAATAAAATTAAGCCTCCAGGGAAAAGTTTCTTTTTTAAATATTTTTATTTACAAATCTCTCAAGCGTCCGGTCAAGAAAGCTCTTCTACGAAAGAAAATATTTTCTATTATAAAGCCAATAAGATTTAAAATTTAATAAAGTGCTTTGGGTGTTTACATTTGTTTCAATTCAGAACAACGTGGGCTTCTATTGCGCGTGTTGAACGAGTTTGCTATTCAGAGACGATATACTCACTTTGAGGTTATGGGGTGGGTTCAGGGAATAGTATATTATAAAAATCTGTATAGTTAGAGATTGAAAGAGGCATCTATTCTAATATAATGCGTTCAAATTATATTTTTTTTAACGGGAGAGGTTTCTCTTTTGGTATATAAATACAATCCTCCTTCAATTCTATGCTATACATCCGTTAAAAAAACTTAAATAAGATTTTTTTTTTGAGACTGAGGCAATTTTTTTCACACTAGTTTATTAAATTTTATTGCCCTCTATCGTTAAAATTTTACACAAATAAATTGCCAGTAAATTTATTTGTGTAAAATTTTAACACTAGTTTATCTCGTATGTTTTCAAATAAAGGTCACTCTAATATCTTTCTGAGTTATTGTCTGAACCCCGATATACATGTTAAAAGGTACAACTTACTTATGTTTTGTCCACGAGTGTATTTCATTATGATGATGCATTAGCGCGTCATCTGTTATCAAAATTCGAAACTATTATAGACTGGCGAAACCGTTGGAAGGGTTCACCACTGATGAGCCAGGCCCTCCCATTAATTTTTCCATTGCAGTAAGGGCAGTAGAAATTGTTTATTTTTAAAAAGAATCATACGCGTCAATAGTAGTTTTGTATTTCATTATGAAATAGGCGAAATTTGTATGTAAGATAGGTAATTCAATATTTTTTACAGTGATATGTTTCTTTATTAAATTATATGTTGTTGACTTTCGGAAATAATGATCATTAACAGGGTTTAGAATAAAGTAGATTCTACAAACGATAGGATATGCAAATATATAACTTAATTTGCATAGCTATTATTTATATCACATATACGAATATTAAAAACAAAAAATGTACATATTGACCGCTCACATAAAAATATTCTAGATGACAGAGCGCTATCTAGTGAAACAAAAATCAACTAAACGTTTATTATCTTGTTCCGTGATATTTGGTCAACTCATTTTCTTGATAAATCAAGGAAAGCCAACCACGAACGCGTTTCGGGCTGTTGGCCCTCGTCACCTGGTGCAGGCTGTACCTCAAAGACCAAAATATGTTTCAAGAGTGTTCCTAAGAAACCAATAAATGAGTATATTTGAGGCCAAATTTGCATAAATATGATATTCATGTGGGAAAATAAGAAGAAAGGACATATATGACAGGTGTTTGGATG